GGTGATGTGCTGGATGCTGAGAAACTGGGTGAACAGAAGCAATTTTCCGAGGAGGAGGAAGGGATCATTGGAAAAGAGGAATCTCTCTTTGCTCATGACAGAGCTCAGAGGCATTGGGCACCATGAGTTACATTGGACCTGACTGACACCTGCATCCAGTAGATGAGAGCTGGGTGCAGAAGACCATCATGATCATTGATCATGGTGGCAAACTTCTGGTTTGTGTTATCAGGGCTAACGTCAGCCCTGTTGGTTTTATTTGTGTTCACTTTTGCTATCTGTAAATAAAAGCTCATGTTCAAATTTGTCCAATTATTTTCCTGTATCTAATCTTCCCCTGTTGGGCAGTGAGATGTTGCAGGTCTACAGTGGGGATTCGGGACAGGATAGCACTGCAAAAGATGGTAGTCAGGTGGGATGTTGCTACAGACAGGTGAACTGTGTGGTGTGGTGGTTAAACAGCAGTTAGGGTGAGGGAATGAGGTTGTATGTGTGAGGGAGTGTTAGCCATGTCAGCTGTGAATCGTGGGCAATATGACTTTGTGACTGGTGTGCCACTACCTTGCTGCGGTGGGGCAATGCCAGTTTGCCAGTGCATGTCAGCCTTCACAGCTGCCTTTCTCTGTCTTGCATGGGTGCAAATAATGTAGGTCTTTTGGCATTTAACTGCTGACTTATTCCAGGAATGGTACGTGGTAATATGGGGCAGACATGAGGGGCAACATAGCTGTCCAATATGTAGTTAATGAGGTAAGTTTGATACGATATGACGAGAGACCTCATTACACTTTGAGGTGGAAATTCTTCTAAAAACCTCGATGCAAGTCAGACAGCAAAAAAAGCATAAGATTCAGTCCATTGTTTTTTGTATTTGTATTTTACCAATTTGCATCCTGGTGAGAGAGCAAGGGCTGCAGATGCTGCAGTCCTGATGAAGGGTCCCGACCCAAAACATCGACTCTCCTGCTCCTCTGATGCTGTCTGACCTCCAGCTCCACACTGTATCGACTTAGCATCCTGGTGAATCCGCTGCACTTTCTAAAACAAACTACATTTTTTCACCTTTTACTTTTACAAAGTGAAAAAAACAAAAGAACTGCGGATGCTGGAAATCTGAAACTGAAACAGAAATTGCTGGACAGTCTCAGCAGGCCTGACAGCAGGTGTGGAGAGAAATCAGAGTTAACGTTTTGGATCTAGTGACTTCTTCAGAACTGATGGTAGCTAGGAAAAAGTTGTTTTTTATGCAGAAGGTAGGGTGGGTGAGGGCGTAAGGAGTAAATGACAGGTGGAGTTAGAGCCTAAAGAAAAAGAAGAACAGTCGGACAGACAAAGGAGTGGATAACAGTCAACCAAGGAGAATGAATAGCTACTAATGGGGACTATTTGTGACTAACAATGGGTTGTGTGTAATAGCAGACCATGTGATAACAGGGTCTTGTGTATGGGGGTAGAGTAAGGACATGGGAGAAGGTGCCTCAAGCCCTTAAATTGTTGAACTTGATATTGAGTCCAGAAGGGTGTAGAGCAAGTGGAAAATAAAGTGCTGTTCTTCCAGTTTGCACTGAGTTTCACTGGAGCACTGCAGCAAGCCTGAGACAGAGATGTTGGCTCGGCAACAATGTGGTGCATTGCACTGGCAGGCAACTGGAAGTTCAAGGTCTTATTTTGTGGCCAGAACACCTCCTCTAAAGAATTAGCTCTATCTCTTCTTTTGATGTCAACTTCAATTAATAATATAACTCCACCCAGGTGTAGTTGATGTCATAGAATGCTTCCAGAACAGAGACTGTTAAACCTGAGTCCCAGCTATTTAGATGTTTTTTTTTAGAAGTGGCAAAGTTTACAGATAATGGATTCTCAGAATGGTTGATGTTCTAAATAGCCTTTTCACTGGACACAGGTTCTTCAGGTCGAGGGAGAGACTGACAGCCTTGATTACCCTTGCTATTGTCAGTCCTTGTTACTTTCCCTCACTTCGCTGAGCAAACAACTGAAATAGGGTTAATTTCTACATTACAAGTTTAATATAACTGTCATCTCTAAATTGAATGTGCCACAGATGACCTTTCATATCCCCATTTGTGAATTTAATCATGCAATTGTAAGTAAAACAAAAGATCTGAATTTCTTGACACCTCAGTGAGTTCAGTGCCTCTTGATTAAAATGTGGAAAATTGACCGGGTATAGCCTGTACACAGAAAGCAGGACAAATCCAACCTAGCCAAGTCTGCCCCAGTGTACTCTCGATCATCAGTAAAGTGATGGAAGGTGTCATCAACAGTGCTATCAAGCAGCACCTGCTCAGCAATAACCTGCTCAGTCATGCCCAGTTTGGGTTCCGCCAGGGCCACTCAGCTCCTGACTTCATAGTAGTTTCAATTCAAATATGAACAAACAAGCTGAATTCCAGAGATAGAGTGAGAATGACAGCCCTTGACACATTTGTCCGAGTGTGTCATCAATGAGTTATAGCAAAACTGGAATCAGTGCGAATCGGGGAAGAATTCTCACTTGGTTGTGGTCATGCCTGGCACAAAGGAAGGTGGCTATGGTTGTTGCAGGTCAGTTATCTCAGTTCCAGGACATGTCTACAAGAGTTCTGCATGATAGTATTATCCTAGGCCAAGCCATCTTCAGCTGCTTCATCAACAGCCTTGTGTGTTTAGGTAATTTGGTTAAGTGTACAGCATGTCTAAATTGTTTTACATGGCCACTAATTTAAAGATGCCATCTTGAGTGTTGCCTGCGTAGGAGCCATTCAAATTAGTGCACAGCACACAGCTTAGAGATTATGTTATTTGTTACTAAAGTCCTTCACTAATAAGACCAAAAATCATTCTTGTAAATCTTTTGTACACCCTTACCAAAGCCTTCACATCCTTCCTAAAATGCTGTGTTATATTCTAGTTAACCATTATGTCATAAAGATTTAACATAATAACTTTGCAATTATTCTGTATTTATAAAGCCCCTGAGCCTGCATACCCAATTAACTGCTTTCTCAACCCACCCTTCCTCCTTCAACGCATATACCCCCTGTATCTCTGCAGCTGTGCTCATATTAGAATTAGTGTTTAGTTTATATTCTTTGTCCTCATTGATCCTGCTACAATATATCATTTCATATTTCTCTTAATTGATTTTCACCTTCTGCCAGCCATTTCAACAGTCTTTCTGTATCTTCTTGAAGTCTATCCATGTACTCCTCACAGTTCACAGTACTTCTGAGGTTTGTGTCTTCTCTAAATTTTAAAGTCTAATTCATTAAGGAGAGGTGACGGCCTAGTGGTATTATTGCTGGACTGTTAATCCAGAGGTCTGGACAATGTTCTGGGGACCTGGGTTTGAATCCTGCCATGGCAGATGGTGGAATTTGATTTCAATGAGTACCTGGAATTAAGAATCCAAAGATGAGTGTGAATTTATTGTCCATTGTTGATTGTCAGCAAAAACCCATCCGGTTCACCAATGCCCTTTAAGGAAGGAAACTGCCATCCTTACCTGGTCTGTCCTACATATGACACCAGACCCACAGCAATGTGGTTGGCTCTTAACTGCCCTCTGGGCAATAAATGCTGCCTAGTCAGTAATGCCCTCATCCAGTGAATGAATGAAGAAATTAATATACATCAGGAAATACACTGGTTCTAATATTGAATCATAGGAAACTCTACTGTATACATTTCCTCAGGATTGTCCCACTGTTCTTTAGCTTCTTCATTGGTGACCTTCCCTCCAATATTCCCTCTAATAGAATGCTTGTGCATGCATGTAGCCATTTGAAGGGTCCTTGCGCAAAGATCAGCGTTCCGAGTCTGTTTGCGTGTTCTGTCTAGAAGTCGCTGCCCTATACAGACCTCAGAGGCCCACACAGAAGGAAAAACTATATCATCAGGAACTCTGCTTCCCTCCATCATAAGGTCAGAAATGGAGATGTTCACTGATGATTGTCCATCGAAAGGTTCGGCTCATGACTGCTCAGATATTTGTTTGGGCCAATAGCTGGCAAGCCATGCCAAATAAGTCCCAGGGCATGACCATCCTCAACAAGAGAAAATTTGATAATCGCCCCTAACATTCAACAACATAACAATTACTGATCCCCAACCATTAACACCCTCGCATTTACCACTGGCCAGAAACTGCTTTGGACTAGCCTTATAAGTATGACATTTTGGTGCAAAAATTCTGAAGGTGGCAGAACAGATGAAAAAAAATTGAAATAAAATCACATGAATCCCAGAGTTTACAGAGGAATACAGAACAAAAGCCCGTAAGTTAGATAGCACCCAACTGGAGTATTGTGCCCATTAATAGGCATTGCATTTTCAAAACATACAGGAGATTTAATAGAACAGTTCCAGGGATGAGGGGTTACAGTTAGGTGGAGAGATTGAAGAAGCTGGAGTCTTCTTTACAGCAGAAGTTTAGATGAGATTTAACGCAGAGATCGAACACCATGAGGGTAAACAGAGAGAAATTGGACCAGTAATCCAGTGGCCCACGCTAATGTTCTGGGGACATGGCCTTACCCACCAGTAATGGTGACCATGAAACTACCATCAATTATCACAAAAAGCCATCTGGTTCACAGTTTCCCCTTAGGGAAGGAACTCTGGTTTGGCTCTCATATGGTTGTGAACTGACCACTGAAATGGCCTACCCGGTCCCTGAGTTCAAAGGCAGTTAAGGATGGAAACATTACATTGCCAATGATGACCACATTCCATCAAAGATTTTATTTGATTGGCAAAAGAACCTGAGGAAACACACTTTTACATAGCAAGGATGGTGGGAAACAGTTTCAGTAGTAGCTTTCAAAAGGAATTTGTTTAAATACACGAAGAAGAAAAAATGCAGGATATAGAGAGTGAAGGATTGTGATTAACTGGTGAAAAGAACTGATAGACTCAATGTGCTGAACTGCTTGAATTCCGTGCAGCTCTATCGCATAAACTTATGAATCACTTACTTTCTAAATATTACCTTTGCATAGAGGCTTCAAAGTGAAAGAAAGCCATCCAATTATAGCAGCATCATGGAAGAACTATTTAAGCTGTTTCCAGGTGATGACAAGCTCATGGACCAGGGACCAAACAGATGTCGGACCTGTGCAGTCATAGGAAATTCTGGTAACTTAAAAGGATCTAACTACGGGCCATCAATTGACTCTAATAACTTAGTAATGAGGTAAGTCACTTGATGCTAAATTAGTATCTTGCCCAATTATTAGACATGCAAAATGCAAACTCAAAATTCGAATAAAATACAGCCCATAATGTGGATAGAATTTCTCAAACCACTAATTAACACTTTTTGTTTAAAATTTCTTTAATAAAAGCAGTTAAAAGAGAGGAGGACACAAATTGGAAAGAACTAAAAAAGAAAATACACAAGCTTTGTGAATTGAGTACAAAGCTCAAATTCTATGCAGAAGGAACATTTTTAATACAATGTTTCTCCTCTGTGTCTCTCTAATGTTAGTTTTTTTGCTGTAGATAGGACTTGTCAACTGCTAGAGATTTGAATCTGAGAGAAACTTGGCTCAGTTGGCAGCCTAACCACTGGATCAGTAATAGGTTGGCCCACATTCCAAGATATGGAACTCATCATGGCAGGATGCCACTCCCCACTGAGAAGGTGTTTCAATAGCAGAGAATGTCTCCTATGATGAGACTTTAAATTACGATCTTCAATATCCACACCCCCTTCCCCCACTCACCCCGAGCTAGTTAAATGTTCAAGATCCTAATGCATTGTGTTAATGAGCCACGAATTATCTTTGTGTCCTGGTCAACAATCCTTTATCGAGTAAAAGAACCAATATAGTTAGCTGTTGTTTAGTCATCCCAGTAGGATTTTGTTCCATTAAAAATATTCTCTTACATATTTTTACTGTAACTCAAAGCAATTATTTGTATATGAAGTGGTATGAGACATCCTAGATATTGCTGTAATTGGATTAGGGAAAGCAGAGGGTTATGATGTTTCATTGGGTAATGCATCATTCAGTGAAACTTTACACACGAAGTTCCCATATTTTATTCACACTAATCTAGGAGATTATTTGGTACAGTATGGATTAATCTGCAAATTTGTCTTACTTGTATGGGAACTGAAGTAATCTTCTCTGCACCCACCCAAGTTTAGCATAGATGAAGAAGTAAACTTGGAACCTTCCTTGTCTGCATGGTTTAGCCGTTCAAGTTGCATTTATTACTCCATGTGGCACTGTCAGAGTCTAATATCTTGATTAATCCTACTTCCTACCCTCCCTCAGTAATTCTCACTGAGATAAGTTCTACAGATGCCATTTGTCCTCAAGTAAGTACCTCAACCAAGTGACGGTTTGTTAGTTTTGAACCATTACAGGCTAACCCATTGCCAAAGATGTAAAACAGCTTTGATTAAGTTACGACGTGGATTCCAGAACTGCATATATTTCTACAACTGTGGCCTAACCAACATTTTACGCAATTCCAGCATAACCTACGTGCTCTTAAACTCTAAGCCTTGGCTAATAAAGGCAAGTATCCCCTAAGAAAGCATATGAGATACTTGACTTTATTAGGCAACCCATTGAGTTTAAGAGCAGGGAGGTTATGCTGGAACTGTATTAACATTTAGTTGGGCAATAGCTGGTTGTTGTGTGTCATGTACAGCCCTGGAATCCACATTACAGGAGGGAGTGATTACACTGGAGAGGGTGCAGAGGAGATTTACCAGGATGTTGTCTGGGATGGAGAGTTTTAGTTATGAAAAGAGATTGGATAGATTGGGGTTGTTTACCGTGGAGCAGGGGAGACTGAAGGGGAACATGATGGAAATGTATAAAATTGAGGGCCAATTACAATGTAAAAAGGAAGGAACTTTTCCCCTTGGTGTTCAATGACTGCGTACATAGATTTAAGGTCAGGGAAAGGAGGGTTTGAGGGGATATGAGGAAACATTTTTACACACAGAGGCTGGTGGCAACTTGGAACTCACCACACGTAAGAGTGGTAGAGGCAGAACTCTCGTAACATTTAAGAAGTATTTAGATGTGAACTTGCAGTGCCAAGCCTGTGGGCCAAGTGCTGGAAAATGGGATTAGAATAGTAAAGTGATTGATTTTGGATGGCACAGACTTGATGGCCAAAGAGCCTTTTTCTGTGCTATGATTCTAAATGTTATTATACGTAGATTACATTTATATATTTTAATACATTTTATATATTTAAGTTATATATTTTGATTTAATAAAACTTGCCAAAGCATTTCATGGGAGCTTTAAAAAAGCAATGCATTCTCAATGACTTGCAGCAAAGGGTGAAAACATTGAAACTCCCTATTGTGGTCATCCATGTCAGTTGCTATGTTGCCTTGAATTCTCCTTTTCACTGGATCATGTGAAAAACAGCTAAGAAAGTAGAATAGGCAGTATCATTCCACCATGATAATCAAATTCCTAAGCGTGGGTTCAACAGTAAAGAATGTAACCTTTGAAATCGTTTACAGTTTGACCGTGCTTAAACAATGCAACAGTGTACCGATACCACAAAACAAAGTGACGCTGAGCCACAACAATTATTAGACCAAATGAACAAATTCTCTATTGAAGGAATGAAGCCAGGTGCAGAGGCTTAGGGACTGGGTATTCTAGAGCTTGGAGCCTAGGTAATTGAAGGTGCGACTGCCAAAAGTGGACTGACTAAAATTGGGAAACATAAAATGCTAGAATTACAGGAGCACAAACAGTCAGAAGGTCGTGATACTGAAGGAGATAACAGTGATAAGGAGAGGTGAGGCCAGGAGGTTTTGAGAATAAGGATGAATATTTTAAAGTCACAATGTTGCTCACCTTGCAAATAATATTGATCCGTGAGTACAGGGTGATAGGGTAACAGGACTTAGTGTGACTTTAAGACATGAGCGGGGAGATTTTGAATGACTGTGTAACTTCAAGTGTACAAAGGTTGGAAAGTGGGAGCAATATATTTGAATAACTGAGCCTGGCATGATTCATTTTCACGAGGATATGAGGTGATTTGAGTCATGTTACAGAAGTGAAAATAGGAGCTCTTCTTGAGACATTAGTAATAAGTCAGAAGCTCATCTTGTGACACTACAAAACTACAAAGCTGCAGCAAAACTGAACTAAGTACAGCCCAGAGATAACTCTCAGAGCTCCTAAATCAGTCTGAGGGTAAGCACTGGATGCTAATAATGCTGAGAGCAAACATAGAGAAAGTCTTGGAGATAATAAGGACTGCAGATGCTGGAAGTCAGAGTCGGCAAAATGTGGAGCTGGAGAAGACAGCAGGTCAGACAATGTCAGAGAAGCAGGAAAGTCATCAGGACTGGGGAGGGGGAAGAGAGCTCAGAAATAAATAGAGGGAGGATGGTGGGTCAGGGGCAAAGGTAGGTGGGATGGTGATTGGTGGATGCAGGTTGTAGAGATTGGTCAGTGGGAAGGGTGGAGCCGATAGATGAGAAGGAAGATGGACAGGTTGTGTCAGGTCAAGAACGTGAGGATGAGAGGGACGGCTAGACATGGGGTAAGGCCGGGGGTGGGGAGATTTTGAAGCTGGTGAACTCTATGTTGAGGCCATTGGACTGAGAGTCCTCGAGGTAGAATATAAGGTGCTCTTCCTTCAGTCGTTTCCACGGACGCCGCTGACCTCATCGCTACTTCCATACTTCTTCATACACTACCCATTCCAGAGGCAGTCTCCACCTGTGCTCCTAGTTCCAGCTAACACTAAGCCCCAGCCCCAAGCCCTGCTGGGTATTCACCACCCCCCCAACTTTCCCCTCACTGAAGACGAATAGTCAGTCCTCTGCAAAGGACTCACCTTCATCCCCCTATGTTCATACGTCAATGAATTCTGCACACATCTAGATGTTGAACTGTTTATCCGCCACCTCTGCCTCTGCGCCTATTTCTATGAACAGGAGTCCAGAACACCCTCTGAAGACCCCTTCTCCTGCCTCCAACAAACTCCGTCCTCCTGGACACTCACCAACCCCCCCCCCCCCCCCCCCCCCCCCCCCGCACCTTGGCCTCCTACCCTCCTTCAACCTCTTCTTCTCCAACTGCCATCGTGATATCATTACCTGAATTCTGCATCCCTCTCACCTTCTCCAACCTCTCCCCACTGGAATGCGCAGCCCTCCACTCCAACCCTATACTCACTATTAAACCCGCTGGCAAGGGGGGCACAGTGATAGTATGGCGTACTGACCTCTACATCACTGAGGCCAGACACCAACTCTCCAACACCACCTCTTACCATCCCATAGATTATGACCCCACCCCAATCACCAAACCATCATCTCCCACACCACCAATAATCTCATCACCTCAGGAGTTCTCCCACCCACAGCCTCCAACCTGATAGTTTCCAAACCCTGCACCGCCCGTTTCTATCTCCTACCCAAATTCGAGAAACCTGACTGCCCCGGTCGACCCATTGTCTCTGCCTGTTCCTACCCGAACTATGTTTCAGACAAAACCCACGCCCTTCACCTTCTCCAAGACTTTCAGTTCCCCAGCCCCAAACACCTCATCTTCACCATGGACATTCAGTCTCTCTACACCTGTGTCCCCCACGTGGATGGCCTAAAAGCCCTCCGTTTCTTCCACTCCCGCAGGCCCAACCAGTCCCCCTCCACTGACACCCTCATCCGCTTAACCCAACTCATTCTCACCCTTAACAATTTTTCCGTTGACTCCTCTCACTTCTAACAAACCAGTGGCTGTGGGCACCCGTGTGGATCCGAGCTATGCCTGCCTCTTCGTGGGATACGTGGAACAGTCCCTCTTCTGCAGTTACATTGGCACCAGCCCTCACCTCCTCCTCCACTACATTGATGACTGTATTGGTGCTACTTCGTGCTCCCACAAAGAGCTCAAACAGTTCATCCACCTCGCCAACACCTTTCACCCTGACCTCAAATTCGCCTGGACCATCTCTGACACCTCCCTCCCCTTCTTGGACCTCTCCGTCTCCATCTCCGCCAACCGAATTCGCACCAATATCCGTTTCAAACCCATCGACTCCCACAGCTACCTCAACTACACCTCCTATCACCCGCCCTCCTGCAAAAATGTGATCCCATACTCCCAATTCCGCCACCACCGCATCAGATCCCAGGATGAAGTATTCCACTCCTGGACATCCCAGATGTCCTACTACTTCAAGGACCGTAATTTCCCCTCTCCCACGATTCGTAATAACCTCAACCGTATCGCCTGCATTTCCCTCATTTCTGCCCATAAGGATAGAGTTCCCCTGGTCCTCACCTACCACCCCACCAATCTCCAAATCCAACACATCATCCTCCGCCATTTTTGCCACTTGCAATCAGACCCCACCACTAAAAAGATATTTCCTTCCCCACCCCTATCTGCTTTCCATAGGGACTGCTCACTCTGCAACTCTCCCATCAGCTCCACACTCCCCAACAACCTTTCCACCACACCCGGCACTTTTCCCTGCAAGCGCAGGAAGTGCCGCACCTGCCCATACACCTCCCCCCTCACCTCTATCCAAGGCCCCAAACAATCATTCCAAATCCGACAGAGATTCGCCTGTACCTCTTCTAACCTGGCCTACTGCATCCGTTGCTCCTGATGTGGTCTCCTCTAAATCGGAGAGACCAATCGCAGACTTGTTGGCGGATTTGGAGAGCATCTGTGCTCTGTACGCTCCAATCAACACCACTTTCCATTTGCCAGCCATTTCAACTCCCCCTCCCACTCCCTTGGCGACCATGCCCATCCTGGGCCTCCTGCACTGTCAAAATGAGGCAACATGTAAACTGGAGGAACAACACCTTATATTCTGCTTTAGGAGTTTACAGCCCAATGGCTTCAACATAGATTTCTCCAGCTTCAAAATCTCCCCACTCTCGGCCTCATCCTATGTTCAACCCTCCCTCTCATCCCCGCCTCCTTGATCTGATACATTCTGTCCATCTTCTTTCTCACCTATCTGCTCCACCCTTCCCACCTATCTCCATCCCACCTACCTTCCTCCCTCTATTTATTTCTGAGCTCCCATTCCTCTCCCCAGTCCTGATGAAGAGTCCAGACCTAAAATGTCGACTTTCCTGCTCCTCCAATGCTGTCTGACCTGCTGTGCTTCTCCAGCTCTGCATTTTATCGATAGAGAAAGCCTTGAAGTCATGTGGTTTCCATCCTAGGGTTTTAAGTGTATTGGGTGAGAACATTACAGATATAAAAAGCAATAGTTTTCTAAACTTTCTTGAAAATGGCCGAGTCCTGTTCCTAATTTGTATGTTCCTACTTGGTATATTGATTCAGGAAAGTTGGTTGAAAAGTTGCATGAATTGCGAAAACTGAGAGGGAAACCAGCCAGGTTGTAGTAAAAACAGGAATGCTGGAAAGACTCAGCAGATCTGGCAGCAAATGTTTCGAGCCAGGTACACTTCATCAAGATAGGGAATGTGCAAATTAGTTAGCTGAACATCCATTGCTGGGGTTGTTGTTTGGGCCTGTATTTTCACAGGTCATGAAGTCTCTGCACCTTATCAAAAATGTACCTGATTCATTAATTATGTGGACTTGCAGAAAGTGTTTAATAAAGTCCCTAATAAAAAACTGTTTGCAAAAATTGAAACCCATGGAACTGAAGGCAAATTAGACAGCTGATTAGGAAATAGGCTGAATGAAAAAAGTCAGTGAGTCAGGTTAGTGGGAGGATATGACAAGTAGAATTCCAAGGTACGTATTGAAACCACAACTATTCTCTATATTCCTCAGTTCTGAGGAAGGGTCGCTGATCCTGAAACATTAACTCTGATTTCTCTCTACAGATGCTGCCAGACCTGCTGAGCCTTTTCAGCAATTTCTGTTTTCATTCTGTATATTAATTAGATCTATATTGATTAGACAGAAAGCCAATTGGCTGATGAAACAAAGCTGGCCATGTATAGATGAAGTGGAAAATTGGAAGGAAATATTGATGTATTGAGTAAATACGCAAAACTGTGACATATTGATCTTACTCTACCCAAATGTAAGATCATCCACTTCGGACCCAAAAAAAGATAGAATAATGTGCTTTCTAAATGTGGACACCCAGGAATGCATTGTTAAAATATAATGAACAAGTGTAGAAAATAATCCAGAACGTCTAATGGAATACAGGAGATAACAAGGTGTGGAGCTGGAGGAACACTGCAGGCCAGGCAGCATCAGAGGAAATTTCTGAAGAAGGGCCCTGACCTGAAACGTCAGCTTTCCTGCTCCTCTGATGCTGCCTAGCCTGCGGTGTTCCTCCAGCTCCACACCTTGTTATCTCACACTCCAGCATCGGCAGTACCTACTGTCTCTAATGGAATACAGGACTCTCTCTAAATAAATAGAATGTAAAGAGGTTTGAAGTTATGCTTCAAATGCAAAGCATTAGTTATACCATACCTTATTCTGTGAGCAGTTCTTGGTATCACATCCTAAGAAGGATATATTGGCCTTTGTGGGTGTAGAGTCTAGATTTACTATGATGATATATGAACTCCAAGGTTGAAGTGAAAGGAGAAATTTTTCAAAAGGTTCATATGTTGAGGGGTGATGACTTAAGTTTTCAAGAACTACTGAGAGAAACTATATCCACCAGTTGGACAAGGGAGCATAGCCAAGTAATTGGAACCAGAATAAAATTAAGAACGACATCTTCACATAAAGAATGGTACAAATTTGGAACTGTCTCTTGTAAATAGTAGCTGATGCTAGAGCAATTGTTAATTTTAAATCTGAGATTTTTTTTTGTTAGTCTAATGGTACTAAGGAGTACGAAGCAAAGGAAGGCATAGAGAGTAAAGTTACAAATCAGCCATGACCTCACTGAACAACAGAACTGGCTTGAGGAGCAAGAAGACCTACCATTAAATAAATATTTTAAAGCATCTATGATTATATAACACTTGTCTTAACCTCAGGACGTTCCAAAGTGCCTTGCAGCCAATGAGTTATTTGGAAGTGTAGTTACTAATGTCACATAGTAAACACAGCCTGTTCACAACAAACTCTGACAGAGAGAATTATGATAAAAACCTAATTTTGATGATGCAGCTTTGAAGAATATGTATTGACCAGGACACCATGGATAATTCCCATACTCGTTTTTAAAGTTGTAGTGTCTCAACCCTCATAAAGTAACTCAAATAGAGCTGGAATTGTTTTAGCATTTACTTAATATCTTATACTCCTCTGAGATAAGCAGTTTTTGTGTAGACCCAAAACGTCAGCTTTGCTGCTCCTCTTATGCTGCTTGGCCTGCTGTGTTCATCCAGCTCTACACCTTGTTGTCTCTTTCTTTCTTTGCTTCCTGTTTGTGTAGGATGAACCGGGCACAGACCACTGGCTATGAGGCGGATGTAGGCAGTAAAACTACACATCACTTCATGTACCCTGAAAGTGCTCAGAATCTGGCAGAAAACGTTTCTTTGGTTCTCATCCCTTTTAAAGTATTGGACATCAAGTGGCTAATTAGTGCTTTTACAGCAGGCAACATCACTCGGTGAGTGAATAACTTAATCTTGGAAAAGGAACAATGGTAAGCAAGATTTAACTCACGGTGGTAAATTTCCCTCCTTTTTTATTATGTTTCTATCCCTTTCCTGCCTTCCTGAATTGAAAAGACATTGACACATTCTGAGTTAGTGCCTGTGACCCTCCTACACCTGCCCAAGTATTCACTACCCGTGTATAAGACTAAACGAGGGGTGCGTAGACTTCTAGACTGTGAGGAGATATGTAATATTGATCAATCAGAATCCTCATTTAGAACATACTTGGTGCAGTAGAATAAAATTGGGTTATTCACTTACTGTCTCTCTGTAAGTGCCTGTTACACATCCAGTTATCAATTAAAATGGAGTGTAAACTGACATGCTTATCAAAGGAAGATGTCCTTCAATGACTATTAATTATGAATTTTACATACCAACATAAATATTTGCCGCAGAAGTAAGCTATTTGGCCTATCGAGCTTGCTGCTCCATTCAGTAAGAACATGACCAATCTGATTGCAACCTCAACTTTGCATTTCCACTTACCCCGATAACTTTTCACCTATTTGCTTATCAAGAATTTATCCACTTCTGGCTAAAAAATATTCAAAAACTCTGACTTTGAAGAAAAAAAACAAAAGAACTGCAGATGCTGAAATCAGAAACAAAAACAGAAATTGCTGGAAAAGCTCTGCAGGTCTGGCAGCATCTGTGGAGAGAAATCATAGTTACTGTCTCGGGTCCAGTGACCCTTCTTCAGAACTGATGGCAGCTAGGAAAATGTTGGTGTTAATGCAGAAGATAGGGTGGGAGTATGGGGTAAGGAGTAAACGATTGGGTGGAGATAGAGCCTAAAGAGAGAGAAGAACAGTTGGACAGACAAAGGAGTGAATAACAGTCAGCCTAGGAGAATGAAGAGCTACTAATGGGGACTATTAGTGGCTAACAATGGGTTGTACGTAATAGCAGACTATGTGATAACAAGGCCTGGTGTATGGTGGTTGGGGTAAGGACATGGGAAAAAATTTGTTGAACTTGATATTGAGTCCAGATGGCTGTAAGAGGTCTGAAGCAGAAAATGAGGTGCTGTTTCAGGTTCAGTCACCCTTCCTCAGAACTCGATTTTGAAGAAGATAGTTTCAAAGACTCATGAAATTACAAGAGAAAAAGTTTGTTATCCATATTTTAAATGGGAAACCCCTTAGTTTGAAACAGTGACCCCTGGCATTGGATTCTCCCACAGGAGTAAAGATTCATTCCACATCCACCTTGTAAAGACCCCTCAGGATCTTAAATGTTTAAACTAAGCCTCCTCTCATTCTTCTAAACTCCATTAGAAACAAGCCTGTCTTGTACAAACCTCTCCCTTATCATAAGAGAAGTCCATTCCATATAATAACCTAATAAATCTTCTCTGAACTGTTTCCAATACATTTACTTCCTCCTTGAATGAAAAGACCAGTAGAGTACACAGTACTCTAAATGTCATCTTAGCAATGCTCTGTGAAACTAGAGCATAAACCCTCATGTTTTGTGTTCAATTTTCCTCACAGTAAACAACAGCTTTCCTCATGACTTGCTGTTCCTGTATACTAATCTTCTGTGATTTGTGCACTAAGACACACCAACTCCTCTGCATCTAGAGCTCTGCAATCTTTCAACATTCAGATAATATGCTTTTTCTATTCTTTCTACCAAAATAAACAACTTCACATTTTCCCACATTACACACCATTTGTTACTTATTTGCCCCTCACTTAAACTGTCTATTTGTAACTTGCTTTTCATTGTGTCATCAGCAAATTTGGTAATCTTATCTTTTGACCCTCCATCTAAGTCATTTATATAAATTTTAAACAGTTGAGGTCCCAGCACGGAGCCCTGAGGCACACCATTTGTCTTAGATCTTGCCAGTCAGAAAATGACCCATTTTTGCTAACTGTCCATCTCTTGTCAACCAGACAATCATCTGTCCATGTCAATATAACCCTGATACTGTGAAGTTTTATTTTCTGCAGTAACCTTTGATACATTCACACAAACAGACAAATCAGGAGCAAAAGTAGACCATTCAGACCTTCGAGTCTGCTTTGTCATTCAATAAGACCATGGTTAATCTGATTGTAACCTCAAATCCATGTTCCATTTAAAATCCATTCCACTCCCTTGCTTAATAAAAATCTATTGATCTCTGCCTTTAAAAAAAATGGACTCTGTTTCCATCACCTTTTGTGGAAGAGAGCTACCAGGACTCATAGCCTGTTGAAAGAAAGGTCTCATCTCTGTTTTAAATGGGTGACTTCTGATTTCTATACAATGACCCCCAGCTCTAGATTCTCCCATAAAATGAAACAGCCTCCCCATAGTCACTCCTAATTATCTTGTATGTTTCAACCAAGTTGCCTCTTACCGTTCTAAATTCCAATGGAAACAAGCCTAGCCTCTTCAACTTTTCCTCATAGCAGAACCTTTTCCATCCCGTTGTTAGTCTTGTAAACTTTAGATGAAATGCCTCAATGATTTTAATATTCTTCTTAAATAAGGTGTCAATATTATACTCCAGGTGCAGTCTCGTATTATAAAATGCCTTCTGGAAAATCTAAGTACAGTACATCCAACAATTCCCCTTTATTCACAGCACATATTACATTCTCAACGTAAATCAGTTAAATGTGATTTTGTATTCACAAAATCATGTTGACTCTGCCTGTTAATAGCTTCTACCAGTTTTCCTATGACAGATGTTAACCTAAATACCTTGTAGTTTCCTGCTTTCTGTTTCCTGCCACCCCCCCTTTCTTTTTGAATGAAAGTTACATTTGTATTTTCTAATCTAATGGAACTTTGCCTGAATGTGGGAAATTTTGCGAAATTAAAAGCAACACATGACTATCTCACCAGCCATTTCTTTAAGACCCTAGGCTGAAGCCTATCAGGAAGCAGGCACTTGCCAACGTATATTTCCAGAAATTTGTTCAGTACCACTTCTCTGGTGATTGTTATTTTCTTAAGATGCTCCTTACCTTCCATTTCCTGATTTACAGCTGGTCAAAGGATGTCAAATTGATAAATGGAAGTTAATGAACACAGTATATTTTGGAGGCTTGTGAGTAAAAATAAAGCATGTGACATATGAGGTAATATACTTGCATGGATTAAGGATTGACTAACAACCAGAAAAAGAGAATAGGGTAAATGAGTCATTCTCACGGTGATAAATCATAATTAATGGGTCATTAGGTGTGCACAAAGATCAGTACTTCAGCCCCAGATGTTCACAATATATCAATGATTTGGATATGGGGACCAAATATAACATTTCCACATTTGAAGATGACACAAAGCTAAGCAGGATTGTGTTCTGTGAGAAATATGTCAGATATTTTCAGGAGGATTTTGACAAACGTAGTCATTAAGCAAGTTTGTGGCATATGGAATATAATGTGGAAAAATGTGATTTTATTGACTTTGGTAGGAAGAACAGATTGAAGGCTAGTTCCTAAATGGTTAGAGGTTGGAAAGTGTAAACGAGTGAAGGGATTTGAGTATCCTTGTCAAGCTGTTAGGAAGGCTTAATGGAAGTGTGAGCCTTTATAACAGAGGATTTGAGTGTAGCAATGATGAAGTATAGAAGCTTGGTTAGATAGCAGCCTAGGTTATGATTTAATCTTGAGATGTGCACTCTCTGTCCCTTCCTGTCACAATCGGTTTGTCATTTCCCATATTAGTATCTTTCTTTCTTGCTTTGTCTCTGCTCTTTGATTTACCACATTTTCCCAAATTTGATCCCCTGTCCTGGCTATTTAATTTAGAACCCTCTCAACTTCCTGAGTTATGTGGCTTTCATATCCTTTCTTAAGTCCAGATCACGTTTAGAATTTAAACAGTACATTTTGGTTAAATGTTAAATACAAATAAAATTTACATTTTTAGAAAAAGTTTAAAGTTTCCCATAGTGACCCACTCTGTTCTTAGTCATACTGAGGTGTGGTGTAGATCACTAATTAAAATAAATCCATTTCTGAGTTGGTCAGTAAGATACAAATTCAAAATAATTTTGTTCAGTTAAAATTGTTGTAGTTAACTTTAGTTGTGTACTTAAATGAATTAATTACGCTTTCTGCATTTATTCTTTCATGTTCAGTACTTATATACCAGTGATGCGTCACATCAAGGCAGATAAAGACAAGGTGAGTTGAAATTTATTTCTTTATATAATTGTGAAGATACATGTCAAAGATCTTTGGTTGCTGGTTGAGATGTGTTTCTATGACCATGCTGAAGTAGTAATGCTTGACCTGATCCCAGTGCATAGTTAAATGAGATGTCTTGAAATTTGTCAAATTAAACATTAATATTGAATATATTATTGCTGCAAACAACAAAATGTGTTTTACTGACCAAACAAGTTTAGTACATGATAAAAGACAGATTATATTACTGGTCTAGGAATCTAGAGGCCTGGACTATCGACCTCGAGACAGAGGTTCTGTTTCCACCATGATAGATGAAGAATTTAGATTCAATGAGTTAAGCAAATATGGAATTAAAGCTGATATCAGTAATGGTGGCCATGAAATTACTAAGCTTTTATGATACTCTATGTAGTTCACCGACACCTCTTAGGAAAGGAAATCTCCTGAGCGTACTCAATCTGACCTAAACATGACTCCAGACACTCATTAACAGAGTTGGTTCTTCAACGTTCTCTCAAGTGGCCTAACAAGCCATTCAGTTAAACTGGATAGACCAAAATAAAAAGCTGGCATTGCCAAACACACCCATGCCTCATGAATGAATTTTTTTTCAATCCTCTGAAATTTCTTTTTAAAAATGTATAGCATTACAATAAGAAGTTAAGTGTTCTTCCCAACTCTTGAACAGTCTCACTTCTCCCACTTCAAAATCTCCCCTCCCCCTACCGCATCCCAAAACTAGTCCAGCTTGTCCCCTAACCTGTTCTTCCTCCCACCTATCCCCTACTCCCACCTAAAGCCGCACCCCCATCTCCTACCTACTAACCTCATCCCGCCCCCTTGACCTGTCCGTCCTCCCTGGACTGACCTATCCCCTCCCTAACTCCCTACCTACACTCACCTTTACTGGCTCCAACCCCGCCTCTTCGATCTGTTTGTTTCCTCTCCACCTATCCTCTCCTCTATCCATCTTCTATCCGCCTCCCCCTCTCTCCCTATTTATTTCAGAACCCCCTTCCCCTCCCCCATTTCTGATGAAGGGTCTAGGCCCGAAACGTCAGCCTTTCTGCTCCTATGATGCTGCTTGGCCTGCTGTGTTCATCCAGCTCTGCACCTTGTTGTCTCACTTCTCCCTGCCTAGGTCACAGTGTCACCTCTTCTTTGTGAAGACAGCAAATTTGTTATGATCCAACTAGGGACTATTAACTTCTTTTGAAAATAGACACAGTGTGACATCCAATAAATGAGAATAAAGCCTCAAGATTCCACAAATAAAGTTTTGAACAAATAACAATACGATTTATTATACAGCATAAGACAATCTACAACTTATTTCTAACAGCTGTATGAAGAGATGGATGACTAATTTAATGCCATCTGTTATACACTAAAATCAAAATAACTACAACCAGCTGTGCACAGTGGGACTGGACGTTACTTCCTGGTTTTACTCGTCCAGTTCAGCCAAATGCAGTGGTGGGATTAATTGAATCCAGTACAAGTTTTAGAGATTTTCTATTCTGAATCTGCACATCGGGCCTACAACAATGCTTGTTTTTGTATTGTTTGATTGAGGTTTAGAAATGCACCATGTATTGACAATCAGTTGTGCTAGTAAACAAATAATATCACATTGGCAAAAGTGACTATTGATATTTGAAGCATATTTTCAATTCTTTGACAGTGATAATGGTTCTGCTGCTCCTACTGGTCTTTTCTCACTGACAGAAATCTGCACACTCACTAACCTTCTGGATTGTTCTGTCTCTGTCTCTTTGTGTCACAGACAGTTGCTAGGCTGCAGCCTAGTTTGTTGCTGGGTTACAGCACATTTTCTTCTCCTTTCTTCAACCTGTTTTGTAGTGCACTAAACTATTCACCTCAAGGGTTTTTAAACTTCTCCCAGTTCAGGTCCTAAACCTCAGACCCATCTTTATCCCCAAGATTGCTCCTGGACCCCCATTTCATCTGCATTCCCATTCGTGGGCTGAAGATATGAAGGGCGTAGCGTGTAATGCAGGACAACCTGGCTGGGCAATGCTGCAAAACCCTGCCAGATCAATGCAGGCATCAAAACCTCATCTTCAAAGGGCTTGTGGTTCATGCCATGATCACCCTGGTGAAAGTGTGAGCATTGTTCTGCATCAATCAGCAAATTTCTTAGACTTGTCAAGAGCCATGTTTTGAGGAGGTGTCCCTTGTCTTCAAATAGCCATCCCTATATGAGAATAGAATCAAAGAATCCCTACAGTGTGGAAACAGGCCCTTCAGCCCAACAAGTCCACACCAAACCTCAGAGCATCCCACCCAGACCCATTCCCCTATAAACCCATCTAAACTACACATCCCTGAACACTACAAGCAATTTAGCATGGCCAATCCACCTAGCCTGCACATCTTTGGACTGTGGGAGGAAACTGGAGCACCCGGAGGAAACCCACCCAGACACAGAATGTGCAAACTCCACACAGACAGTCACCCGAGGGTGGAATCGAACGCAGGACCTTGACGCTGTGAGGCAGCAGTGCTCACCACTGTGCCACCATGCCGCCCAAAGGTCTAATATGGTCTAAGGAACTTGGAAGGAGGCAGGAACCTGTATGTTCTCTAGAATGTAAGAGTCTTTGCAGCTCCCAGTTTGTCTAATACAGGCCTCCAAATGATGTCTTCAACGATCACGTTAGTGGTTGAACATTAAAGGAGTAGAATCCTTCCCTTTTCACAATCACACTAGATGGTGACAGGATGCCCTTGAAACAACAGGGGTACAATTGATAGTAACCTGTGTCTAGGAAAGCAAGGGATGATAGGGAATTCTAATGGCCTAGCCGCTTGACTATCATTATCGAAGGGAAAGATATTCAAGAGGCAAGCTCTGGCGAAAATGGCATGATACAATTATGACTGGAGGATTGAGTGATGACAGGAATTTCCTGCTTCCTGCTCGAGAATAAAAATTACAAGCAGCAGTAAGGTTGACAACCATTGAAGTAAGATTGCCACCTAATATTTTGGAGCTAAAGTTTTTATCCAGCCACTGATCCAGCTCTGAGATAATGGAGTGGGATATTCTTAAATGTTTGCAGCATTGCTGTTCAGACATTTGTGGATATCTTCACATAGCTCACCGTTTACCTACACCTCCTTGGAGGATCTTGTCCTGGTGATTCTCCCTCTTGAGGGTGTGCAGAAGCTGCTGGAGGTTGCTGTCCTTACTGGGCTTGATAAAGATCTTGTAGTCACCTGCCTTCTTCTCCACTGCTTTCCTATTAAGAGCAAGGCCACATGGAAGCCAGGGAGCAATCTGCCATTTCATGAGCATATAATCTGTGGGGAAAGTCAGAGAGATCACAATGTGACTGAAGGGAGGTCTGAAACCTCACATCCTTAACAATGAAACTGAAAGTTATGCCCTCACACAGTGTGGCAGGAAGCCTTTCCAAGATAATTGTAATGCCTTAGTATACAGCTCTGAGGTGTGTGACTTTTTCCATTTGCACAGTGGATAACCAAAGTGTCTGTGCTCCACTGGGGCTAGACTTCTGACAGTAAGCCATGAAACAGATCCCACTCCCGCCCTCCAAATAAAGTCTCCTTTCCATATAACAGCCATATTGAAGGCAGGTAAAATTGCTTCAACAGTGAAAGCATGATAACATCTAGCACAGCCTCAAAAACAAAGATGGGAACCAAATAACCAGCCACTTACCGTTTCAACTTGGCATGCAGGTGCCCTCATTTTATGAAGTGATTGCACAGTTGACTTTCAGTCCGATTGAGTGAGGTTTGAATTTTGCGTTTGTGACATGCAGACTTTGCCAGTCGTGCATGAATTTTGCCACATTTTTCCTTTTTCTTTCGTGTCTCACTAGCCCCAATGACCCTTCAGCTATCTTTGCATCGCTGTTAATTTGCTCACTTTACCTCCACGGATCCATGTCTCTTATGACCACAGACCATGCTCATGTGGAGGCAAGGAATATTGTGACCTGCTCCAACTCATAACCCCCACCCGCCTGACCTGTCAGTCCCTTACTATTTGGTAAGTGGTCCCACCATACTAACCACATAGCTCCCTATCATTGTCACCATTCCCTCAGTCACCCCTGTACAATGAAGCACATCCCTAGACTTGATGTGCTCACTTTCCTCAGGATGCCAGGGACTGCCCTTTGATAAACCCCCAGACTATTAATGACCAATCCCCCATGACTGACCGACTTGGAAGGACAGCTCTGACTGACTGCAGCCCAGCTACTTCATTGACATCTTGACATCATCCCAACTGACATCCCTATAATTCTCAGGCTGCTTGTGCCCAATCTCCAGATTCAAGGGCACAGATCTCTAGACTTGTGTAGGATGAAGCACCTGACTGCCCATGGCCAACCCTCTTGGCTGGCAGTGAGTGAGCCCTATGACTGACTGTAGTATCCCCTGATAGACTGTAGTTTGCTGTTAGCCCATTAAGCACTCATTTCCTTTGACTTTCACACAACACTGTTTACTTCTGGCACATGCAGTGAGCTTGCCTCGTAAACTGCTGGCACATGCTGCAGCCCAACATTGATGTAGTACAGTGCTACACAATGATATGATCACTCCCTTAGAGACTGAGATATTTGCTCTTCAGTCCTCCCACTGCCACTAATTCTATGCTAAAAAGCAGGCTGAACCACAGAGGCTGCTTATCTTAATATTAAAGACCTTGTGCAATATAAAGCGAGCTAAGACCCACAAGATGTGGCTCCATGTCAGTACTAAAATGATAAATGGCTGTCCCTGAACACAAACTTGGTAGAAGCATGCAAGTCCTGGCAGACCCTCTGCTCCAGAGTAGATGGTTGAAGCGCTGTTGATCAAGAGCACATAAAATGATGTTGTGAGCTTGATGCCTTGCCAATGCTGGGTTGCATGGATGAAATATCCAGAAACAGAGTGGCCACTGACCATGGAGGTAAAAGAAGTAATTCCACAATAACAAGAAGCACAGCCATTCCATGAGCTGCAACGGATGCTGACGAGACAAGTTGTCAGATACCAGCTCTGTTTTACTTGTCAAGGTTTTACACCATTTAGTTTCTCAGTTGAGGAGAGGAAGATTTGAAATGCAATGATCATACATCAGGTTGAGGTACAAATGAGATGCAAATTAATGGAGATAAGTTTGCCACGACTTGAGGGCAAGATGCAGAATTTGCCAACTAACGTTTAGGATTAAATCGGGTGAGGTCTTTCAATTGCTGATTTTTATGTGCGAACGCCCCAAACTCACTTCATTAACTACCTACGATGGGCCAGTGGCATCATGGATTAACATTTATTGCCCATCCTTAATTGCTTTGCTCTCAGTGTCTTACTCGAGCCATTTCAACAACCTCTCGAGTCTGATGATGGCTTGATTCATCCATTTGCAATTGCTGGAAGTTCTTGCCGAGGTACTCTGGGATCCCTGGCACCAGTGCCATTTTTAAAACCAGCTCCTCGGTTCAGAGGTGCCCTGCACAATTTGTAACTTTTTCCCCGATATGGCAAGTAAAGGAAATTTGCAGCTCACTCTGTGGGCAGAGACAGAGAGGTTCTGGTAGATGGGGTGGTGCACAGTTGGGATGTTTTCTTCCCCCATGATCGGCAGAGGAGGCCATGACAGCAGATTTTGTCAGCCTTGTTTGAATTTGCTGTCTGGGTCAATGCAGCCTCAGCCATCTAGAGGAATACCCAGCACTGTAGGAATAAATTCAATGCCTTCTCCACTCCAGCTGCGCAAGTGCCATCATCTTCTCTCTGATACCTCACATTCATTCTACCGCTGTTACTGCATGGTCAGCCATGATCATATTGAATGGCAGAGCAGGCTCAAAGGGCCAAATGGCCTACTCCTGCCCCTATTCTCTTCCCACCAAAGCTCATGCTCCACCACTTCACTATTGAATGCAACGTCTTCCCTCACTCACTCTTTACCCACCCAATTCCCCCACATTACCAATCACTGTTACCCACCCAATTCCCCCACATTACCAATCACTCTTACCCACCCAATTCCCCCACATTACCAATCACTCTT